GTATGATGGGCAGTAAAGTGACTTTATAAAGGGCAGTAAAGTGACTTTATAAAGGGCGGGGGGCCAGGTTAAGAAGTGTTCAAGAGTCCAACAGCAGAGGGGAAGAAACTGTTCTTGTGGCGGGAGGTTCTAGTCCTGATGGACCGCAGCCTCCTGCCTGAGGGGAGTGGTTGGAATAGTCCATGTGCAGGGTGAGAGGGGTCGGCTGTGATACGACCAGCCCGGCCTCGAGCTCGGGCGACGTACAGGTCCTGCAGCGATGGAAGGCTGCGGCCAATCAGTTCTTCTGCAGAGCGCACAATGCGCTGTAGTCTCTGTTTGTCCCTGACTGTGGCTCCAGCGAACCACACGGTGATGGAGGAGGTGATGGAGGAGGTGATGGAGGAGGTGAGGATGGACTCGATGATGGCCGTGTAGAACTGCACCAACATCTGTGCAGGCAGCTTGGCTTTCCTGAGCTGCCGCAGGAAGTACATCCTCTGCTGGGCCTTCTTGATGAGGGAGCTGATGGTCGGCTCCCACTTGAGGTCCTGGTGATGGTGGTGCCCAGGAAACGGAAGGACTCCACAGAGGTGATGGGGGAGTCCATCACGGAGGGTGGGGGCGGGGGGACAGTGCTCTTCCTGAAGTCCACAATCATCTCCACTGTCTTCTGGGCGTTCAGCTCCAGTTTGTTACCACTGCACCAGGACACCAGCCGGTCCACCTCCCTCCTGTAGGCGGACTCATCGTTGTTGGAGATGAGTCCAATGAGGGTGGTGTCGTCCGCGAACTTGATCAGCTTCACGGAGTCGTGGCTGGAGGTGCAGTGGTTGGTGTACAGGGAGAAGAGCAGGGGAGAAAGAACACAGCCCTGTGGCGCTCCTGTATTTATAAACAGAGAGTCCGAGACATTCTTCCCCAGACGCACTCGCTGCTTCCTGTCCGTCAGGAAGTCAGTGATCCACCTGCAGGTGGAATCGGGCACGTTGAGCTGGGAGAGCTTGTCCTGGAGCAGGGATGGCAGGATTGTGTTGAAGGCAGAGCTGAAGTCCACGAATCTGTATCTGTAAAAAAACACACTGTAAAACTGCTCAAATGAACCACTTTTACAAATGTCGCTGTGAAATCGATCGACAAAAACAGCTTCAATTCCAGAGCGAGATCATGAAAGGGATTTGTTCAAACTGATCACAGCTTGTGGAAAGAAGCTGGCGGCATTTTCAGATGTCGTGCTTCTCAGTGAACGAGATCTTCTACCAGAGGGAAGAAGCTGGAACATGGCTTTTTCCAGGGTTCAGAAGAGTCGGTTTAAGAGTCTGGATTCATAAAGAGCCTCCAGAACAGGCAGCTCACTTTGAATTGAATTAAAATGTGTGAAATGAACACACAATATTTTCAAACGAACACCACCTCCTTCCACAGACAGGGGGCAGCATTTCACAACTGATGAAGACTTCCATTCACTCATTTTGTCCCTAAACGAATCAGTGAATAATAAATACCTCTTAATGACTTCAATGAGATACTCCATTAGTGCTACAGCCTCAGTCCTGGATCTACAGCCTCAGTCCTGGATCTACAGCCTCAGTCCTGGATCTACAGCCTCAGTCCTGGATCTACAGCCTCAGTCCTGGATCTACAGCCTCAGTCCTGGATCTACAGCCTCAGTCCTGGATCTACAGCCTCAGTCCTGGATCTACAGCCTCAGTCCTGGATCTACAGCCTCAGTCCTGGATCTACAGCCTCAGTCCTGGATCTACAGCCTCAGTCCTGGATCTACAGCCTCAGTCCTGGGTCTACAGCCTCAGTCCTGGGTCCACAGCCTCAGTCCTGGATCTACAGCCTCAGTCCTGGATCTACAGCCTCAGTCCTGGATCTACAGCCTCAGTCCTGGATCTACAGCCTCAGTCCTGGATCTACAGCCTCAGTCCTGGATCTACAGCCTCAGTCCTGGATCTACAGCCTCAGTCCTGGATCTACAGCCTCAGTCCTGGATCTACAGCCTCAGTCCTGGATCTACAGCCTCAGTCCTGGGTCTGCAGCCTCAGTCCTGGGTCTACAGCCTCAGTCCTGGGTCTACAGCCTCAGTCCTGGATCTACAGCCTCAGTCCTGGATCTACAGCCTTGTTCTTTCACTAAAAACATGCATACTCAGCACATAACAGAATAGAAAATGAGCTCCCATCCATTAATATTATTATCACCATGTTTTTCCTCTCTGTGGACGTGTCTCCGGTGGATTGAACGGGCAGCTGCTGCAGTCCTGGACTTTAACCGTGTCATGTTGTATCATCCACAGATGGAGAAAGGATCTGCTGCACAAACCACTGCGATAACTAATATTTAAGACCTGTTCGAACCGTGTCCAAACATCCCACTGTCCCACAAATATACTCTGTTTATAGCTGCAGTTTTGAGAGCTAGTTTCTTGCTCTCAAAAATGTTTGGTTCTATCATTAGTTTTTAGCATAGACTGTATACAGATGGACAATGCTAACATAGACTGTATACAGATGGACAATGCTAACATAGACTGTATACAGATGGACAATGCTAACATAGACTGTATACAGATGGACAATGCTAACATAGACTGTATACAGATGGACAATGCTAACACAGACTGTATACAGATGGACAATGCTAACATAGACTGTATACAGATGGACAATGCTAACATAGACTGTATACAGATGGACAATGCTAACTTAGACTGTATACAGATGCACAATGCTAACATAGACTGTATACAGATGGACAATGCTAACACAGACTGTATACAGATGAACAATGCTAACATAGACTGTATACAGATGGACAATGCTAACACAGACTGTATACAGATGGACAATGCTAACTTAGACTGTATACAGATGGACAATGCTAACACAGACTGTATACAGATGGACAATGCTAACATAGACTGTATACAGATGGACAATGCTAACACAGACTGTATACAGATGGACAATGCTAACATAGACTGTATACAGATGGACAATGCTAACATAGACTGTATACAGATGGACAATGCTAACATAGACTGTATACAGATGGACAATGCTAACACAGACTGTATACAGATGGACAATGCTAACATAGACTGTATACAGATGGACAATGCTAACACAGACTGTATACAGATGGATAATGCTAACATAGACTGTATACAGATGGACAATGCTAACACAGACTGTATACAGATGGACAATGCTAACACAGACTGTATACAGATGGACAATGCTAACATAGACTGTATACAGATGGACAATGCTAACATAGACTGTATACAGATGGACAATGCTAACATAGACTGTATACAGATGGACAATGCTAACATAGACTGTATACAGATGGACAATGCTAACACAGACTGTATACAGATGGACAATGCTAACATAGACTGTATACAGATGGACAATGCTAACATAGACTGTATACAGATGGACAATGCTAACTTAGACTGTATACAGATGCACAATGCTAACATAGACTGTATACAGATGAACAATGCTAACACAGACTGTATACAGATGAACAATGCTAACATAGACTGTATACAGATGGACAATGCTAACACAGACTGTATACAGATGGACAATGCTAACATAGACTGTATACAGATGGACAATGCTAACATAGACTGTATACAGATGGATAATGCTAACATAGACTGTATACAGATGCTAATGCTAACACAGACTGTATACAGATGGATAATGCTAACACAGACTGTATACAGATGAACAATGCTAACACAGACTGTATACAGATGGACAATGCTAACATAGACTGTATACAGATGGACAATGCTAACATAGACTGTATACAGAATAAATGATTAACAATAATAATGCATTGGTTTTATACAGCGCTTTTTTAGAAACTCAAAGACTCTTCACATGTCATTATTCATTCATTCATTACGTTCATTATGACTGGGACCATGTGAGCACCTGTAGTAACGGGAGCACCTGAAGCACCTGTAGGACCTGGAGCAACTGTGGTACATGTAGCACCTGTAGTACCTGGATCACCTGTAGCACCTGTAGTACATGTAGCACCTGTAGTACCTGGATCACCTGTAGCACCTGTAGTACATGTAGCACCTGTAGTACCTGGATCACCTGTAGCACCTGTAGTACATGGAGCACCTGTAGTACATATAGAACCTGTAGTACATGGAACACCTGTAGTACCTGTAGTACCTGGATCACCTGTAGCACCTGTAGTACATGTAGCACCTGTAGTACCTGGATCACCTGTAGCACCTGTAGTACATGTAGCACCTGTAGTACATGGAACACCTGTAGCACATGTAGCACCTGTAGTACATGTAGAACCTGTAGTACATGGAACACCTGTAGCACCTGTAGTACATGTAGCACCTGTAGTACCTGGATCACCTGTAGCACCTGTAGTACATGTAGCACCTGTAGTACCTGGATCACCTGTAGCACCTGTAGTACATGGAGCACCTGTAGTACATATAGAACCTGTAGTACATGGAACACCTGTAGTACCTATAGTACCTGGATCACCTGTAGCACCTGTAGTACATGTAGCACCTGTAGTACATGGAACACCTGTAGTATATGTAGCACCTGTAGTACATGTAGCACCTGTAGTACCTGGATCACCTGTAGCACCTGTAGTACATGTAGCACCTGTAGTACATGGAACACCTGTAGCACATGTAGCACCTGTAGTACATGTAGAACCTGTAGTACATGGAACACCTGTAGCACCTGTAGTACATGTAGCACCTGTAGTACCTGGATCACCTGTAGCACCTGTAGTACATGTAGCACCTGTAGTACCTGGATCACCTGTAGCACCTGTAGTACATGGAGCACCTGTAGTACATATAGAACCTGTAGTACATGGAACACCTGTAGTACCTGTAGTACCTGGATCACCTGTAGCACCTGTAGTACATGTAGCACCTGTAGTACATGGAACACCTGTAGTATATGTAGCACCTGTAGTACATGTAGCACCTGTAGTACCTGGATCACCTGTAGCACCTGTAGTACATGTAGCACCTGTAGTACATGGAACACCTGTAGCACATGTAGCACCTGTAGTACATGTAGAACCTGTAGTACATGGAACACCTGTAGCACCTGTAGTACATGTAGCACCTGTAGTACATGGAACACCTGTAGTACATGGAACACCTGTAGCACATGTAGCACCTGTAGTACATGTAGAACCTGTAGTACATGGAACACCTGTAGTACATGTAGAACCTGTAGTACATGTAGAACCTGTAGTACATGGAACACCTGTAGTACATGGAACACCTGTAGTACCTGTAGTACCTGTAGCACCTGTAGCACTTGTAGCAGCTCATTTGAAAGCCTTGTGTTATTTTAATGTTACGACAAGTTCTTCCTGGTTTTTAAAAACGTAAGTCCCAGTTTAAGTAAGAAATATTTATTAATATAGCACATCTTTAGTCAAAGCTATTTACATTGTTGTGAGCATTTGTCGTCTCACTCCACACGGGGATGGAAGTGGTTGCCATAGAGACGTGCCTGCAGGATAGGGGTGGGAGGGAAAACTGGAGCACCTGGAGGAAACTTACGCAGACCCAAGGGGGGCTCCAGGAAGACCAGAGAGAGACCGGAGAGAGAGACCAGAGAGTTACAAGAGGGAGACCAGAGAGAGACCAGAGAGAGACCAGACAGAGAGACCAGAGAGAGACCAGACAGAGAGACCAGAGGGAAACCAGAGAGAGAGACCAGAGGGAAACCAGAGAGAGACCAGAGAGAGAGACCAGAGGGAAACCAGAGAGAGACCAGAGAGAGAGACCAGAGAGAGACCAAAGAGAGAGACCAGAGAGAGACCAAAGAGAGAGACCAGAGAGGGACAAGAGAGAGACCAAAGAGAGACCAGAGAGAGACCAGACAGAGAGACCAGAGAGAGACCAAAGAGAGAGACCAGAGAGTTACAAGAGGGAGACCAGAGAGAGACCAGAGAGAGACCAGAGAGGGACAAGAGAGAGACCAGAGAGAATAAATAAGTGATATATAGTCCCTAACAGTCTCTAACAGTCATGACATTGTTTTAGTTTTTCCAGTTTTTTCGTCTGTGCCTGAATAAAGAACCTGAAGGACTTGAGTAACGGGGGTCAGATGAGGACAAGTGCAAATGGTGCCCCTCTGGCTTTTTCTGTGCCAAATCTCACGCACGCACGCACGCATGCACACAAGCACCCCGCTGTCTTACACACAACTCTCATTACGCTCTGAAAAATGAAAAAAAAAAAAAAAAAAAAATCTATTCTTCCCCCCAATCCCTCCCCTCCCCCCTCCCTTCCGAACCAGGGCGTCACGCGTGCGCTTACGGGGTGCGTCCTATTCGCTGAGAACATAGGTGTGTCAGTGAGGGGGCGTGTCCTCCCCCCCCCCCAGCTGTCAATCCAATCCCGTGACGTCACTTCCTGCGTGTAGACTGCTGTGGATGGACGTGGTTGGGGAGTTTTTGACAGCAGCAGCAGAGAGAAGGAGAAACACGCACGCACGCACAAGTATAGACACACGTACACACACGCACGCGCACGCACACACACACACCAGAACGCGCGGTGGGAGCTCTGGACACTGTCGACGCGCGCGCTCCCAACTCTGCACGCGTCTCTCCAGTCCCGATATGGCGATTTCTGACGGCGTTGTTGCCCCCCGAGGTACGTTGTGTGTTTTGTTGAGATTTTTGTTGTTGCCTTGGGTTTTTGCATGTTCTCCTCCTGCAGCTGAATGTTTGTTTGTGTGGGAATGTCAGTCCGAGTGTCCTCCAGAAAGGCATTACGCACACTGTGGAATAAGACGTGTATATATTTGTGTCCCGTTCCCATTACACACGTCCCTTTTCATGCGTGTGTTGGTGCGAGGTTGGTGCGGGGTTGTGTGGTTACGGCAGGCAGCAGGGGGGTAATCTGATTTCAGTGTTGACGCCTGCGCAGCTCGGGGCTGTCTTTATCAACAGGATGGAGTGGATGCGTTGGTCTCGGTCTGTGCGGTGCAACAGGATCGACCATTCTCACTAAAGTCAGCGCGGTTTTGGTTTAGGGACCGATTCATAAAAGGTGGTTTTCTCAGATTAAAGTTTATAGTTTTTTACTGTTTATTACTTTTTATGAAGATAAGATAAACTTTATTGATCTCATAATAGAGCTTTTTACATGTCACGTTTGGCACAGATAGAATCACACAAGACAGGAAGTGTGCAAACATGTTCAAAAGGTAAAAAAATATAGTCCCAAGATATATTATGTACGATAAAAAATTAAAAGTGACTGTAGCGGCACGAGTTTTTTCAGTCCTAGTGCAGGTCAATAGTGATTTAAAGTGACTTATCGTACAATCTGACAGCGGTGGGGAAGAATAATAATGATAATAGCAATAATATTGATGAGAATATGACAGTTGACACATTTCAGATTTCTTAAAACCCTTATATACCATACGTTTCTGGTAGAAGCTTTGAGTTGCTTTTGGAGTGTGTATGAATTGTGCTATACAGATAAACTTGCCTTACCGTGATTTCTCGGAACAAAATGTGTAGTTGTTCCTTGCAGATGCAGGAGGTTCTGAGGACAGTGGTGAGGATCCAGGACATTTTTGGACATTGGTCTCTGCTCCTTTTGGTCCAATTCCTCTCTGTGTTTACTCTTATGTGTTTGAACTGTTTGATTTTCTATTCTGTGTCGGCGAATCGACAATTTTGGAAAGTCCCCAGAGAAAAACTACTGTTGTGATTTAGGGCTATACACAAATACATTGAATTGAGTTGAATTGGATTTTTTGTATGTATTTAACTATATCTAATTACATGTTGGGTTAAAATGTTAGAATAGATGAAATTACCGTGGTTTTGTATACGGCTATAATCTGGAACAGTCTTCTTGAAAACGTGAGACAGGCTTTTTCTCTGACAATGTTCAAATCCAGGTTAAAAACAGTTTATCAGTGCATACAAGTGAGGGCCAAATGCAGCCCTCAGTGTCATGTTATGCGGCCCTCTGCCTCGCTAACCCAAAGTTGTCTGTGAGATCATAAACACAAGTTCACTGTGTCATCCAGCCAACTTCAGCTCAGCCAGTATAGACCTCCGGCTAAAGCCCAGTCCCGAATTCAGTCATTGTTTGTACATACGGTACTGACACGGTTTTTGATTGTGTCACAAAATTCCGTTAATGATGCTAATGTTATGTAGCTGGTTGGCCTGAATGAACATGTGTCATTCAGCCAACTTCAGCTCTGTTATAGATCATTTAAAATCTCAGTCAAGACCGTTTTTCAGTCTGAGATGTCGGTCCCTGAACTAGTCTGGTAAGTTATGTAAGTTAATCAGAAACATTGAAAAACGGTTCAGGGGCCAGTAGAAATGGTTTTGCGGCCGGATTTGGTCCATGGGCCTCGTGTTTGACCCAAGACAAGTCAGATGTAAACAACCACATGCATTAAAATACATATATAAAAAACATCAATAATCACCGTAGATTTACAAAACTGCCTAAAAAGACCGGTCATAAATGAACTTCTAGTATGTAATGTTTTTTTAAATGGCGCATTTTACCGACCAGGGTTTTACAGTGTTCTATGGTCATGTGATTGGCTGTAACTAACAATTATTTTTACAATCAATAATTATCATTATCATTCTTTCCATTATTCTTTCGTTTCGTGGAATGTGGTCGTAAGAGTTTGTCTGTATTTGGTTTACATTTGAGTGGAATAATAATAATAATAATAATAATAACAAATACTAAAAAATATATCATAATAATAACAATAGATAGATAGATACTTTATTGATCCCCCGAAGGAGAAATTCAGGTGTCCAGTAGTAGCAAAAATTAAAAAAGAAAATTGATCATTCTAAGATAAAAAGATAACAATAGTAATAATCAGCCACAGCCCTTCAGGTCACAGCAGCAGAGATGGAGTAGCCTCTGGGTGGAGCAGGGCAGGTCAAAAGGTGGAGTAGCCACTTGGTTTGGACCATCTTCTCTGCTCTAGTCCAAAATAAAATGCTAAATGCTTCATTAGCATTTTTCTGGACCAGTGCCAAACTTTGCACACTGTACTGAAGCAACATCTCAGGCAGAAGAAAAGCAATAAAAATAAAAATGTTAAAGCACAAAACAACAGCTGTTAATCAGAGCTACTAAGGACTTGCAGCCGTTACCCAGCGCATCTTTCAAAAAAAAATACTAATGATAAATTAAGAAACATGTATAATGGTAAAATCTTCCAGCTTTGGTCATGAACGAGAACATCAACATCTGGAGATTGGCCCCTGTTGCTACGGCGACCCACTGCTCCCGACAGAGGCCCCAGTGCAGCGTGGGTAACTGCAGTGGACTCTGGGACAATAAAGTACAAACTGATCCTATTTTATCAATTATTAAGAGACACATTTGCATTTCTTGTTCACCTTTTTATACTTTCTTTCCTGTGGCTGTTATGTACTGCGGCCAAACTCCTACATTCACTCATTCACAACTAATCTAACAAATATTAACTCTGTATAGTCACATTTTAACAGTTTAACATTATCTAAAAAATAAGTGCAACACAATCTCAACAACATCCACAGTGATAAAACTAGGAACAGAAAAATATTTTAAAAAAGAGGGATCAACCCAAAATACACACACGTTTATTATCAAAATGGATCGGGGAGTGAGTCATGGAAGCTAACGGCTAAATGCTACATGTACTTTCTTTTCAGGTTTAGCAGGTGTGGTTTATGTCCAGGTTCTTTGCTGTAACTTTTAGCTGTTATTTATTCACTCTTAGCTATGATGCTATATACGTGCGATGCTAATGCCAGACGGCGCGGCAGTCCGTCCTCTGCGGCTCGGGCTCAAATCTCTGGAGATAAAAGCATTGATTTAAAGATTGTGTGGAGTCTATTCTAATGTGCTCAGACAAATACAGTGGTGTTTAATGTGACCCTTACACCAGTCTCCACATCAGCGTGGCACTCGGCCCGGGTCCAAAGGTCCTGCAGCGGTGGACAGGAGACCGGGCCATGGGGGAGACCAGCCCAGGGGGAGACCAGATCAAGGGGGAGACCGGATCAAGGGGGAGACCGGATCAAGGGGGAGACCGGATCAAGGGGGAGACCGGATCAAGGGGGAGACCGGATCAAGGGGGAGACCGGATCAAGGGGGAGACCGGATCAAGGGGGAGACCGGATCAAGGGGGAGACCGGATCAAGGGGGAGACCGGATCAAGGGGGAGACTGGATCAAGGGGGAGACTGGATCAAGGGGGAGACTGGATCA